TATGTTTTCCTAGGGTCCCAATAATTGTCCTGATCATCATCACTATCTTCTTCGTCGATGTCAGATTCGTTATTGTCATCATCATCCATGTTGACGGGCGCGACTTCATTATCTAATAATCCCAAAGCTTCCAAGAATTCGTATACCTCAATTTTATCACCAGCACTAGTGTCAGAATAGGTTTGTTCCATGACGATAATATACCAAAATACCTTATATTTAATTTAGGTTATTTAGCTTCTCGTCTAGGGTCGCTCCGCGCTGTAGTAAATACCCAGGATCGGGCGAAAATATGTTACGTTATTAAACACATGATACTGCGACTCCCAAAGAAGGCTGATGTCGATTTTGATAAAATACTCATGGAAATCCACGAGAACCATGATATATATTTTTGATGATCCCGTATCTCAGTCAGTAATGAGTCCCACCATCTCTCCAGTGACTGTTTAGGAGTAATATTGGGAGAATCGTACATTCGCATAGACTGAATCGCCATATAGGTTATTTTGTTTTTTCGAATCACGTGGGTGGCTTAGATATAATGCGCAGTAAGACGTCATCTCTAAACTTCTCCTGTGATTTAACTACGCCCTGTGCTATTTCCGCAGTGTTTTGTATTTTTAGATGTCCTATTTTCGTAGGAGGATTGATGAGACCCCGGATATGCTATTTTTGTAATAATGAAACCAGGTCCAAGGTCTTATGACGTAATTTCGGTAAAATAGTCAATTATGTATTAGATCCGCCTAATCTTCATTTTCAAGGGGTTAAGTTCTCACACTCATTTTGTATTTAAGGAGGGGTATGAAAAAAAATATACAATTAAGGCTCTCTTTGAGTATGGATTCACTCTTAGAGGATGCCCGTATTGCTTTAAGAATTATATTAGAACAAGCTCCACAACTTCTTGTCAATGGTGTTGACTCACCTGAAAGTATTATTTGTTGTATCTGCCTTAATGAAGTTACTTTAATGCAAACGTATGCCAGGTTACCTTGCAAGCATATATTACACTTCATATGTTTCATATCTGAATATTCCCATAGACAGCGTTGCCCCAAGTGTCGTAATCCTATAGAAATTAGTGTTTCTGAAGATACGGTCAATGCGACTGAGTCAAGCATAGCCGTAGAAGAAATCGAGTATTCGAATGAAGACATGTGGATAGATTATGATGCCCTTACCAATTTTCAGACTGACTTCAATCCTGATCTCACACTAGAAATACCTCTCAATTCTCCAAATATTAATATAGAATTATCATCAAATATCGCTAGTTCTTCTAATACCTCCCATATTCCAAACACAACAGATTCTTCCATCACTTCTTTTAACTCAAATGCATCAAGACGCAGAAATCCGACTCGCTCTGCAAGACCTACCAATTTAAGTGAAACGTCAGTATCTTCACCCGGTCTTTTATCTGGAGAGAGTGTATCAGCCCCATCTAGACGAAATAGACGTATAGAACGTTTAGAATGCGATATTCCACTTATTATTCGGGAGTTAAATACTGTCCCAAATGAAAGTTTTATAGCTACCGATTTACAAAGTCAGCGGGGTGATAGTTCTTCTGGTGGGATTTTGGAACAAATTTACAACTTATATCGTGAATCTGATGATGCGGAAACTAATGCGAGAGATGCTAATCATCTAGCAATATCATCTAATTTCCGATTTGGAACAGTACTTGAAAATCGATATGCAATGTTACTACCTGCATCTGGTAATGATCACAATGCTCGAGAGGCTCTTAATAATGAAGTAGAAGGTCTTTTTCCCGATATCAACCAGTCTATCGTCCGCAGAAAGATAAAAAGGGCTCGTGTCATTTATGAAATTTTTAATGAAATTGGAGTAGATAAAATATATAGAATCACCCTTCCCGTTTCTTTTTTCTCAGAACTAAGAAGAGAAGATATAGACAATATTATATCGAGTTGTCGTTAAATGACAAGAATTGTGGGGGCAAATATGACTAAGCCCGGTCCATGAATTCGGGTTACCCCCATAAGATTTTTATACAATTATGTATTGACTTGGCCATGTCAACCTTAATAAAAAAAACATAATTTCATTTTTAAAAAAGTCCGCATGTATTACACGTGACATCCTTCGGGTGTCCGTTGGGTGTCACATGTTGGGTCTAAACCATATATAAATTTTTACATATTAATTTTGTCTTTCTTAGATTTTTTGAAACTAAGCAATCGACCAAGTGAAATATGATTATTTCGCATAATGAAGATTATTTGCTTTAGCGCCTTTGACCAAAAGAAAGATATGTTTTGTGTTCCCTGTTTGCGTAAGAGCTGGTGAACACCAAAAAGGGGAAAAAATATAGTGTTATTAAAATTATCGTAATGAGATTGTTGTTCTGCGTCGTAAGAATCCCAAAACCTATAAAAGCAGTGCGAAATCATTTTTTGCAAGAAAAAAAAAATAAAATCGAAAATTATTCAAGAATATGGTAATGTATTGGTTTTCCCCTTTCCCTGCAATAACTATATCTAATCACATCATTTATTCATAGATGGGAATGCAAAGTATTCAAGTCTTGTTCAATACTTCTGAAGTGATTTATGTTTTAATCTTCATTGGATCTATTTTCACTACTATCTGGCACATCTTACGTGTTAGTAGACAACAACTCACTAATATTGATCCCGTACAAGCCAGCAGGATTACTATGGCGGTTCAAACGCATTTGGAACTAATTTTTAACAAGAAGTTTGGCGATATCAATTCTACTTTAGAAAACATAGAAGTGAGTACGGATGCCCTTCTTAATCGACTCTATAGTAAGGAAACGGGTTTGGATGATGAAATTAAAACATATCTGACCAAAAAGTTCAACGAAGTTAACGCCGAGAACCATGAAAACATGTTGGCATTATACGATAAGCTTCTTAATATCGAAGGGCGTGTTTGGTCAGCGAACGACGAGCAATATGATAATTTTATGACAAATACAGCTCGCTTCAGTGAACAGCTTAATAGACATACTCGATCAAATGATGAGATCCTTACCATCCGTGAAAAACTTGACCACCTTGAAGGATATTTAAGAATTCTGGCCCCGCATATTCTAAATATCACTCCTGTATCCAGCTCTAATGATTCATCATCTTTTACAGGTAAATGTTTTTAATATCTTAATGCTAGGTTTTTAACGTAACATAAAGATTATAGCTAAATGCTTTTATTAACTTAGGCTCAAGCGAAGAAGATAATTTGGAAGATATCTTCATGTCTCAAGATCTAAATTTCATGTAATATAGTTCATTTGTATTGCATATTGTCTATTTTGTATTAGATTATATTATATAGGATCTTAGCTTGTTATATTTCTCCCGGCTGATCTTTTCTCATGTAATAAAGATTTGGTCCCAAATAGACCTTTTATTTCGAATTTTATAAACACGCTTCGGCAATTAAAAAAAATAAACACTGCACCGCCTCACGTCTGAGTTATGACGTTTCTTTTTTTTTAGCTATACAGAATCTGATTGGCCGACCATCTCGTGATTTATAGAAACTCGCCAGCGCCTGGAACTCTTCTAGAACTGTCGAGGAACTGTCGTGGAACTGGCAGGGAACTAGATCTCATGTGATATGATATACAGTACATCATACCACAAACTGATTTAGCCGAAAGCGCTGTGCATATGCATGTAAATATAAAATCCGAAGGGATATGACCCTGATATGCTTGTAATCAAATAAAAATGAATCCGATATTTTATTATAATATAGTTGTTACAAACTGTTATAGTATAAATTTGAATGTTGATATTATCTAGTATAAGTTGTTAAAGAATTGCTAAAATTCGTTAAAAGCGCTATAAATAACTAAAATCGTTAAATATGTCAGGAAACATTGTTAATAGACCTAGGCCTGGTAAATACATTGATATTATTTTAGACGAGGTTTATAATAAATCTGTGCCTAAACCCATCAATCTTCATCCTGGATACGATATTGAATATATTAGGAACCGTTATGGTTTCCTTTATCCTGGTCAATTCGAAAAGATGGTTGAGGTTGAAAGAATATATGATAATTTATCTATTATTAGTTCG